CTACTCAAATGTGACGTAGGGGTGGGAGGTGGACCGCCAGTGGAGAAAAAAAAGGAAAAAAAAATCGTGAAATACACAGGAAATACGAGCCTTTTGCTCTACGTTGCGGAGAAGTTCAAAAGGCCGGCAGGGAGATGAGAGATAATGTGAGCGCGGAGAGCGGTAGAGAAATCCGAGAAGAGAGAGCATAGCAGATCAGCATTGCGACGCAGACAAAATATCGAGCGGTGGGCGGAGCGTGTCGCAACAGGTGGAGCGTGTCAAAGTCCTTGGCCCCTAGCGCCTTAGTGACGCATTTGGATGCGGGAACTTGGCGAGTCGCCTGCAGCTGCGTCCCATGCACTTCTAGCCACTTTAAAGGGCTTATTAGGTGGGTCTGAGCCCGAACTTTGCCTTTAAGGATCGGATATCTCTTAGCGGTAATTATACAGAACTTTAAAACGCTCCAAAATCAAGCAAGTTATTGGATAGACCTGGTGAAGTGCTTTATATCTATCGACATCACATCCATTTTCTGCACATCTGCAGTGGTCCGCCACTGTGGATCCCCACCCTCCACGCCTCCTCCACCCCAATATGCTCTCTCCTCACTGGCCCTGGGTAAACGTAATGCGGCTTCTGGCGGAGGATCGTTATCCCGCGTCATTCCAGGCTGACTCATTGCCCCTAACGGTTCCTTATCGAGTCCCCTTATGGTTAGCGAGGTCAACGCTCTCATCATGATCCTTACCGTTAAAGCCGTAAAACAAGTCGAGCGACCCCCTTCAACCCCTTTTTTCACCCACCCAGTTTCCCGGCTCTATACATATAGTTACTTAGCAACGCGTGACATCAGTAATTATGCAAAATAAAACATGTGCAATATCAAATTTGGATGGTCGCAGCGTGCACTATTTAGCCCACAACTACCCGATGCGACATGCCTGATCGAGAAAAACAAAAAGGAAATATACCATAAATAATGAATGTTAACTGTCTTTCCGTACCAAACATGGTCGCTTACTCACCTTCGGAAACGGACTAAGCTCCTTTATCCCTTTGAGGCGAGCAAGGCTGAGCAAGGATGGCCGATGCAGAATACCAGGAATGGCAGCCATGCTTTTCAATGAAGTCTGTGAGCTTTTCTCTTTCACGTCACTAGAGATCATTTCCGTAACAGGAGCTACCGGCGGAGAGTCATCCTTAAAAACCATATTCAGAGAGGGCATAACGGGGAGCGATGGAAATGTACCTTGTCTTCATGGAGATCTATAAGTTCGATGCTTTCTCGAGGACTCTTCAAGTCCTGCCCTTGTGGTACTTCCTCCTCCACTTCCTCAAGGAACTTGACACTCAACGGTGAAATCGTTAGCCTCTCAGTAGTTTCCGATTCCTCGACGCTGTTGTCGATCATGTCACCATCGGGATCCATAAGATCCTGTAAAGTCAAGGCTTTTACAGTTACATGGGTTAGCTACAGAATGAAAAACGATGGGTGAAAAATTCTATACTTCAGATGAGACCCGGGCTACCGTCGGGGAAGTTTCACTTTTTTTAGAGTTTTTACCGTACGGTGCTCACTCAAGAACCGGAAGAGAAAAAATAGTATAGAGAAAGATTATTTCTTCCCGAATGCTATGCATTTACCTCATGAGGTTTTGCGTTCACGACAACAGTGTTGCAAATGGCCATCGTGAGAAAGAACAGATATATTGGGCTGTCAATGTCAGCTTCCCGAACGGCACGACTGAGGAGAGCTTCCAGGCCTCGGTCCTTGGAAGGCCGTGGTCTGCCAAGCCGATCGTCCGGCTGGTCAATAGCTGCTGCTACTGAGTGGCCACCAAAATCACGTCCTCTCAAGGAACAGCGACGAAAGACCATCTGAAATGAATTGGTTCGTTGTCGAAAAATAGGCCTCAGAAATATGAAGAGAACTGTTCAAAAATACGTCAATTAAGACTAGGTCCTGGATACTAAGTCTGAATTATATTTCACCAAAGTCACTTGGCTCAAAAACCCAAAATTTACGATAGGAACGAGGAAGAACAGAACAGTGCCGCTGTTGTTCTATGGAATTTTGAAAACAAAGGGGCTACGCGCCCCCCCCCCCCCCCCCCCCCCCCCCCCCCCCCCCCCCCCCCCCCCCCCCCCCCCCCCCCCCCCCCCCCCCCCCCCCCCCCCCCCCCCCCCCCCCCCCCCCCCCCCCCCCCCCCCCCCCCCCCCCCCCCCCCCCCCCCCCCCCCCCCCCCCCCCCACCCACATCCAACAAACGTTTGAAATAAATATCCAATACTGTTTTCGGGTGTGCCTCCTACGTGCAAAGCTCTTTTTTTCGATCCGTTTTCCACCTCTGTGCCACAACATTTTTCTTTTCTACCTGCATTTCCTAATCTAACGATTGTTGGTGTCTCTATTTTTCTAAATTCTGACGCAGTCGTAACTCATTATAATCCTAGTCGTCTACCTAATCCGTTCACCTGTCACCTGTCACCTGTCGTCCCGTTGATCATCGAATTGCTCGAGCGGGCGCCAGCAACGTCTCCATTCGTCCCTGTCGCGTGCAAGAGTTGTCCAGTGGACCCTCCTCGCTCGAGGGAGGTTCTTCATTCCTTTCGTTCAGAGCTTTCGTGAAGAAGTCTGACCATCGGGCCGGCGGTCGTCCAGGTGTTCGTTTGACGTCCCGAGGGATCCAGTCGGTAACCGCTCTGGTCCAACGGTCATCGCAAAATCGCATGACGTGTCCGGCCCACCTTATCTTCGATTCCTTGGCGAAAACGGCAGCGTCCCTGATCTTCGATCGTTGGCGTAGTTCGGCACTCCGGATTCCCCTCTGCACTTGCGTGTATAGGGTTACTCCTAGCATCGTCCTCTCGACAGCGCGTTGGATAACGCTGACCGCATGCTCGTCCTGCCTGCGCAGAGTCCAAGTCTCTGAGGCGTAGGTTAGGGCAGGAAGGACAGCGGAATCGAAGAGGTGGGCACGGAGCCGGATGTTCTTCGTCTTCTTCACTACTCCCTCGATGTTCTTATACGCTCCCCAAGCCGCTCGTTTCCTCCTGCTCAGCTCTGGAGCTAGATCGTTCATCATATTGATTTCCCGACCTAGGTACACGTAGCTGGAGCATTCGTCTGTTTTGATGTTCGTTCCGTTGAGCGTGAATGGGGCATCAGGAACCAATCCGTTTCTCATAAACATCGTCTTCGTTAGGTTCAGCTGTAGACCAACCTTACCACAGGCGCAGTCGAAATCAGCCAGCATTCGCTCCGCTTGCTCGATGTTCGGCGTTATAAGAACGATGTCGTCAGCAAAACGAAGGTGGTGTAGTTGCCGGCCGTCGACCTTCACTCCCATGTCTTCCCATTCCAGTTGACGCATGACGTTCTCGAGAGCGGCGCTGAAGAGTTTGGGCGAGATGGTGTCGCCCTGTCGGACCCCTCTCTTGACGTCGATGATGACCTCCTTGTAGAATGGTGAGATTCTGGTCGTAAAGTTGCTGTAGAGCTCACGAAGAATCTTGATGTACTGAGTAGGGACGCCCTGGTTGCCCAAGGCTTCGATGACCGCTTCTGTCTCCACAGAGTCGAAGGCCTTCTTCAAGTCGATGAACGTGAGACAAAGCGGCATCTTGTACTCTCGTGAAACTTCAATGAGTCTTGTAACCGTGTGGATATGGTCGATCGTGCTGAACCCTCTTCGAAACCCTGCTTGCTCGCATGGCTGTCCTTCATCTAGTATTCTGCCGATCCTGTTAAGGATGACTCGAGTGAATAGCTTGTAGATTACAGACAGCAGGCAGATTGGGCGATAGTTGCCAATGTCGTCCAGGTCTCCCTTCTTGTACAGCAACACGGTCCTGCTGGTTTTCCACGGAGTGGGTACCTTGCATTCCGACAGGTAGCGCGTGAAGAGTCGAGCCAGAGTTTTGATGATGACTGGCGGCGCATTCTTCAGATGTTCCGGTTTGACCCTGTCGAGACCGGGTGCTGTACGATTCTTCACCGACTTGATGGCGTGTCGGACTTCGGAAGAGAGAACTGAGGGGACGACGTATCCATCCTGTTGCAGTTGATAAGTGGGCAGATGGACATGGCTATCGAAGAGATCCGAGTAGAAGTCGTGGATGACTTTCTCCATTGCCCTTCGGGATGCAGTAACTGTTCCATCCGGACGTCGGAGGCAGGTCATCTTGGTCTTGTAGCTGGCAAAGCTTCGGCGGGCATTGCGGATGCTCCTCCCAGCCTCTGCTGCTTCAGCTAATACTGCTGCTCTTCGCTCCTTGAGATCTTCCTTTATCGCCTCTCTGCATAGCTTCGCAAGCTCGGACGTGAGTCGGTGATTGCCTGCAGCTCGTGCGGCTCCACGCTGGCGTATCAGTTCGAGAGTTTCCGGAGACAGACGTCCCTTGGTGACTTTCAAACTCTCTGCCTTCTTGCCACAATCGTGAAGATGTTCAACGAGCCGATAGTACTCCTCGTCGATGTTTTCGATGACGGAATCCTCCCATAAGCTGACGAGGGAAGCGAAGTGATCCCAGTTGATGACTGTCCTGGGGCTTCGCTTCCTGAACTTCGAGGCTCTCTCAACACGCATCGAAAAGTGGAACTTTGCGCGGAGGAGACGATGGTCTGATCCCGTGTAGAACTTCGGAACAACAGCGACGTCGGTCAGGCAAAACCTTCGATTGAAGATGACGTGGTCTATCTCGTTATGGAACTGTCCATCAGGTGACTCCCAAGTCCAACGAAGGTGAGGGGGCTTTTGGAACTGTGAGTTACCATGGATGGTGTTGGTCGACATGATAAACTCCGACAGTCTCTCACCCTGCTCATTCCATTCCATTCCGTGAGTACCGATGTGAAGTTCTTCAGCCGTTCTTCTTGGGCCAATCTTAGCGTTGAAGTCGCCGACGATGACCTTGAAGAAGGTATGATCTTCCCTGTAGAACTTCTCCAATTCCATATAGAATGCTTCGTGTTCTTCTTCGTCGTAGCTGGATGTTGGTGCGTAGGCGACGAAGATTGTCAAAGCAGGAGTTGAACCACATCTTCTCAATCTCAAACGTCCGATTCGGGTTGTAAGGCTTTCGTACGAATCGATGTTTATGGCCAAGTGCGTGTTGACGAGGACACCCACACCGCCAACGCCTCTGCTGTCGCATGTTCCAAGGAACAGTTCTTCTCCAGTATCGAAAACGGCGTGTAGCGGGCGGTGCCTTCTCGTCTCGGTCAGTCCGATGACGTCGTACTTGATCTTCCTGGCCTGCATCATCAGATCTTCGATGTGAGCTTCGGATGCAAGCGTTCGTGCGTTGAAAGTACAGATCGCCATCTTAGTCCTTCTTCGTTTAGGCAGCCTATCCGGGCCCTGAGATTCTAGCAGCCTCTCCCGAGCGGTCCTACCCAACGCTGCCGTATTGGGGGCTCCCTCAGGTTCAGGGGAATGAGGCCCATCCATATTGCTGTTTTCGGCATATTGAAGGCACACGAGTAGCTTGCCAGGCTCTGTCGTGCGGGCTAGGATAGACCTCCAGGTAGTTAGCCACGCTATCCTGGAGCGGAACAAGGGGCTTATTTCTTGGAGGCGGCCCCGAATCGCCTCCCATGTACTTCCCAGTCACTTGAATGCAAGCTTTTGGCTGTGCCGACATGCAGGATACCAACCGCACACACACAGAGCGCACCACACACGCAAGCATGCATGGATGCGCCTGAGTGGAGACAGCTGGTATGAATCAACACAGCACTACAGAAACAGGGAGTCCATCCCCTGAATCCACCTGCGTCTCAGGGCAAGTACATGGTGGCTTTTGGTCCGCGATTTACCCCCTATCCGCCACCTGGGGTCGCGCCACGTAGCCTCGCCACCAACCGGCTCGAGATCTTTCAGTGAGAGAGGACCCTCAGTGAAAGAGATCCCGTAATACGTAAATGTATGCAATATGAAGTTTTTACGTTGCGCTGCCCCTATCCCCTCCCCACTTACCCGGGACCGTCCCCAAGTGTCGTTTCCGTAGATTTGTTTCTCTTTCAATCTTTCTACATGAAACTTCAAATTTTGTCTTCAATAAACACAACTGACGTATTCATGCTGGGAAAGAATGAAAGAAGCTCTTTGGGGACGATTCTTCAGAGAGCCCTCCAATTGCGGGAGTTCCCCCCCCCCCCTACGCCCCGCGGTGGGTCGCGGACCCCCCCCGCTACATTAAAATTAAACTAAAAATAACAATAATATTCGCAGAAAAACTGAGGAAGCCGAAAGAGAAATAAGCCAATGAATATGATTTGCAGTCTGTATGAGTTGCGCCACACAAGATGTAACCTGGTACCCTACGTAATTCAAAAAAAGGCATTATTTTCATTCCTTCATTCTTGCATACCTGGTTTTCTGTTAGCGTTCCGGTTTTGTCGGACATTACATTATTGAACTTGGCCAAGTTCTTCCGGAATATTCAACGCTCTGAAAAGTATGCATGACTCGGGACATCGCATAATAACAGGAGAATTCATACGATTTTCTAAGAACAATGAGTACACTGTAAGTGCTAAGAAGCTCGCACACTTGTAAGTGCCAAAAGCTCCGGAGCGGATATTTGGAAACAATAAACCCGCTAGAGAAGTGAACTTACCGACATTGCAGTCGCTTATCGACCTTTTCGTAGTACATGTTCTTGTCCTGAGATATCAACCAAACCTGACCGACTTTTATGAACTCTATTGAGACATAAAGGGAAATAGGGATCAGCACCTGAAAAATAACGATTGGTTCAAAATTTAGGCTGATCAGGAAAATTTAATTACCACAACTTTATTGACAGGTTGGTTGTACTCCAAGCGCGCTGAATGACTACTGAGCAGTCTATGTTCATCAATGGCCGTAAGGGGAGTTAAGGCAAAGACCGTAATCGAACTATTGTGTTACTGCGCTTCAAAATAACAATTTGAAGTGTAACGCCAGCCACGAAAAAACGGGAAGAAGCCATCGACAATGATAAAAATAAAGCCCCCTTTCGCGAAACGAAATAGCGTCGAGCAGTGGGCGGGCTGGATGGTGGTGGGCGAAGCGATTGTTGAACCCCTAGATACCCGACAGGAGACCCATCGAGCGGCGAGGAGGCAGAAACGAAGACGGGTAGCGGACGAGTCGCAACGCGTACTGCAACGTTTTCGCGTTTGAATAGAATGTACTCTATAGTATGTCCCATATCACATAGCACGCGCTGCGACTCGTCCGCTGACTCGTCTGCGTCTCTGCCTTCTCGCCGCGCGACGGCTCTTAGCAGTATTAGCGCTTCGGCCTTGTCAAGTCGTGCCACCAAGTGGGTACATGCTGTACGCTTGCGCTCCACTCCATATATCTCGCGCAAGAGCTTCATGTCTTCCAGAAATCCCAGACTTCGCCTGCTAGACTGCTGGTTACTTCAATGATTCCCTATACCTCACAGAGCTTTAAAACGAGGAAGGGTCAGGTTATCGTTGGACTTTCGCGCGCGCTAGCGATTCATCGCACAGTCTGCAACCTGCCTCAGTTGTCCAGGAGTTTTCTAATCCCACCTAGTGTACATGCGATCCTTTTGTCACCTTGCGTAACATTCCCGCTTTTCAA